AGATGTTTTCCGAGTAGAGTATGCTGCTACTGTTGAAGAGAAGGTTCGATTGCTATTACAAAACTGGATCTCATGAGCATCAAAAGTATGGAAATTATATCTTACCAAAATATACTCGTGAATATATGAGTTATGGTGAAACTATCGGGATCTTAAATAAAATATTATGTAAACAAATATCCTGATTCTATAACCAGTATAACTATCTCCAATTAATGAAAACCGATGTTTACCTTGCATAAGCCGAGAGAGCTTATTTTCAGTCCAAACCATTCAAATTACATGCTTTGCATTATGACCAGCTTCAATGTTTACTATTTGCTCTTGAAACTCAATCGTTCACGAAGACCGGTATTCGAACGAGACTGCCATCACATATTGGAAAAGAAAACCAAGTGACGCTGTGAATGGTTAGTGAAGAATGTCAATACCTGGTCAACCTAAAACATGATGCCACTACGATAAAAATTAAGGAGTATAGCCATCAAGACTCAGTGCTAATTACATTAAACTAGGTAGAAGATTAAATTTTACAATTAGTAGCTAATACCAATTCAAGTCTGTCAAATTGTCAACAAATTATTAATTTTGTGGCTCGAGGCATTTCACCATAACTTGACACTTCAGAAATCAAAGATACAACATATGTTACAGAATTGGTTTTAAGGAAACGGTTTGAAACTAGGATGAAGTAAAGCTTTATCAGAATCGAGAAGGCCAGATGAAAAATATATGAACATATGCATTCAGTGTAGCAAATAAAACATGGTACGCGAATTTACTAATAGGGGGAATTTATATATATACTGTATATAGCTTCGAATATTACACTTGTTACTTACAAGGTATGGAATGTAGTAGGTTTCTGACCTATATAATCCTAGAAACACATTTGGATTGATCTAATGTGCTGTTCAATTCAGTGAAAATTGTTTTGCCCAAACTTGTCATATAACAGGTGAACATGGTTTGGAGAGTAATAATCTTCTACTGACTTCCTTTAATAGTAGGATTCTTTAGACCTAACCCATACTCCAGTCAGATAAAGAAGTATTTCGTGATAATTGAAAATGAAATAAGTTTGTCCTATTTTGGTATGATTTGAGTTGAATAAACCTGTAGATATTCAAACCACCAAATAACTTTAAAGTTTGATAACATGTCAATATACAACTTGGTTATACCCCAATATTTACATTAACATACTTTCTACCTTGCTGTTACTTCGTCATACATCGCGTGCGAAGATAGGTAACATATATCTCAACAGTATGTGTCCAATTTCTAACCATTATGTCCAGTATTCATCCCAACAATTTCGTTTTTGGTAGCTTAGCAATACTGTTAAACCCCATACAAGTGTGCCTCAGAGCTTAGTACAAGGACCTGCACTTTGAATGTTTAACTAACATTAGACAGTAGAGTTCCTGTTTGACTAGACTGGTAGTTAGGCAAGGTATGAGTTATCTGTTGCATATCGCACTCTGCCGTAAAAAAATAGAGGACCCAACAAAATGCTGTTCACTAACAAGAAACAAGGACGTTTAGAGAAACACACATTCCAGATAACGACTACAATATCCCACTGTAACAGTTAAGAAACCTAGGACACTAATATCTCAAGTGTACGAGCTGAATTAAAGCAAAATAAAATATTCAACTTGTAAAACATTAGATGTCATTTCAAACTACCCAAGGATAGTTGATTAACTGTTTATCTCCAAGCACTTCTGTGGCACAATGGATAACGCTCTTGACTACGGGTCAGCAGACTCCACAATTTTGCCCCTAAATGCCCTGGTATGGTCGAGGGTGAAAAGAGTCTGCTCTCCTTCAGGAACTGCTCTCACAGGGTCACGCGTATACAGCCACTGTTAGGGAAGTCCTACCCACTACCTTCTCAAAGTGGGGGTGTTGTTTACGAAATTAAAAGGACGGAAAGTGAATGTCCGATGCTCTAACTGGGTTGATCCATCCAGGGGCAACCGGGCGGTATCAAAGCCCCCATACAAACCAATAATAATTACTACTAGAAAAACTACTCTTGCTTCAACGAGCATTCGGACAAATCATATTCACAACCACATAAAACTCGTCTTTATTCCTTTTATACCGCGTCATTCATATACTACCCCTTATTCTCATTTCGCGCATTTTATTTTCCAACTTATACAGCAGCTCGCCTATGTTGAAAACCCTCTCCTATCTAAATGATCTCAAATCACCGACTGGTCGAAAGTTGAATGCTACCACCGAATACGAACACTGAAACAGTCTTTGTGAAACCACATACACCATTCAAACTGGTCTCCTTCGAGACTCGCACACTAATGTGGATAGGACAACAGATAGGGTTGGCGATGTATTTAGAAAATCGCAACATCTATTTCAGTTTCTGTTGCGACTAAATATCAAACCGAGCTAGGTTAAAGGGTAGCTTCTAGCCCGCTGAAAAGTATAAATGAGCATTGGTTCAAATTACATGTCATAAAAATGGAGAGTAATGTCGCTTGCGGCTTCGCGAAACGTCCAGTTTATGAACACTGGGTTTCTGTAGGCTTCTTACAACTCACTTAAGCCCGTCGGTCTATTTAGGGTGACCGTGAGTTTGACCATAATCGTAGACTTGTACGTTATGAGATTGTGCAAGCTTGCGTAAGGACCGAGAAGCCTGGTGGTCGGAACGTGCTAACGAGTTGGAAACAGCAGCTGCTTCCGGTGACTGCCGGAAGCTCTTTCAACTCATTCGAGTCACTGGTAGAAAGAATTCTGGTGTGAATGAAACGAACTATGAAAATGATGGGATATCAACCACTAACATGTGCCGATGTCTTGGATGATGGGTAGACTTTTTCGAGCAGCAGTTAAACTGGTCTGCTGGTCCAGCAACATCGATCAAACTGTCTTGACCTCGATGCCCTATGACGACTGATCCACTCAACAAGGTGGAAGTAAGCATGGAACTCAAACTCTTGAAGTGCAACAAATCACCAGGTTCAGATGACTTACCTCCGGTCCCTTTTAAAGACAGTGGTGACCTTCTCGTTAAGGAACTGACAGAGCTATTTACAAAGACATGGAAGTTAGAGTCTTCTAACATCATGAAATCAGTCGATAGTTGTTCCTATTTTTAAAAAAATAAGGTTCACGTTATCTATACAACAGCTATCGGAGGACAATTCTATTTCGATTGCGTCTAAACTATTGGCTTACGTCATACTTCGTAGATTGTTCAAAACCCAAGAAAGATTGACTGGTGAGAAGCAGAATGGCATGAGTGATGGGACCAATTCATGTATAGTGAAAGGCAGAGCGGCTTATATCAATCTGGGCCATCATTGGCGCCTTCGTGATGTTATTCTGGCAGTAAAATGTCGGATCTACAACGCGTCAGTGAGAACAGTTTGACTCTACGCTTGTGAGACCTGGCCTCTCCGAGTTGGGGGTTTTAGACGACTCTTTGTTTGATCATAGTTGTCTGCGAAGGATTGCTGACATACAATGGCAACACCATGTTAATAATGCAGAGATTCAACATCTTGTGTTCGGGCACAGTGACGATAATCCAATTGGTGTCACCATCTTGAAACATCGACTTCGGTGGCTTGGACATGGTTTTACGAATGTCGTCCCAGAAAATTCCACGTCGTGTATTATTGGTCGATGCTGGGACTGGTTGGAAAAAGGGGAGGTGGTCAGTGTATGACATAGTGTCGTGACAAGAAAGGACATACAGGACTGGTTTCTGTTGGTCCCTCACGACTCTAGTTGGGTTTCTAGAGATGGTGCAACATAGTGGGTAGGGACGTTATCAGACAATGGCTCAGTATAGAAGTCAGTGGCGATCCTACCATAACTTTCTTTAGAAAAATGAACGTAACTTGTTTAACTGAAATAATTCTTTCTGGTTGTAATTTTCCTAACCGAACTGTTTTCCTCACTATTGTTATTATTTCACTCTCACACACTAATTTCTGTTCGTTGTTGTTCTTCTTTTATTATATGCACTTTACATTCACAATTTCATTATTTTGTGGTGCCCCCTAGTGCCAATGTTTATGTTTTCAAATAAATAAATTGCAGTTCTTACTGACAGATGTAGGATAGTAAGAAACGGGATTTGTTTTTAGCGTTAATTTGTCTTGGACAGGACACATTTTATTTACGAAACCAGTTGTATTTGGTCTAAATTTGTACCACATAAATTAACGTTTGGACATATCATACCTTAGGATCCATGGGGATAGGCTTAAAATGCAGATACATAAATATAAAGCGTACGGGCCGCGTCAACTTGATATACTTTGCATTAACATAATGGTCAAAAACACTAATTAAATGACAAGAGTGAATATAGTGAGCCCTTCAATAGTCAAGCGATTAAAGAAAAGTGTGAACACAGATGACAAGTACTCAGTAATAGGAGACTTATACTTAGTAGAAAGTACGCTAATGTAGTCGATTTTGTGTTTTACGGCAAAATACCTCAAACCTCAAATTAAGGATAAATTAACTGCTTCAGTCAGGAAGCTTATCATTTCCTAAATGATTTAGATCACTAGTCAATGACTTAGGTTGATAGTGTGTTATGATCTGGTCAGCCTTCACCAGGAGTTAAACATTATTTTTTGTCCTTGACATAAATACGAAGATAAATGAAATTATCGAATTCCTTTCTATTTATAGTCTACAGGTTTACATCCTATTCCATTATATATGGTTGTCTACTGTTCCCAGTATTTCAACAATGTAGCAGACAAACCACTATTCACAATACGGTTGAAAAGCAAAGGAATAAAATTAGAATGTTATTAGGTACATCGAACAATTGTACAGTTAGAAAAATATAAAGCGTAATAAATCTTGTAGGCATAAAAAAGAGCGATACCTAGTATAGCAAGTTGAACATTCAACAGCAACATCACCATAGACGTGTGATACATTCTGATATAAAAGTTTATTATAAAATGCAATCTTGAGAGTAATGTTTATCAAGGAGTTCAGAAAGTGTCGACAGGAACATTTGATGACTGGACAGGATGGAGCGGCATACACGATGTATTTTCTATAAACTGTACACCAGACTGACCTTCACAAAAACTAGATGGCTCCAATTTATTATTTTGATCCTCATTTTCCTGATCCAGTTGAGAAATATTTTCCACTTGTTCTTCATTACCCAGTAAATTAGACTCTTCGTTATCTTCTGTAGGCTGTTCTGGTTCTGGGCACCCATCTAAGAGACCATCACCCCAGTCAATTGGAAAGCGAGTAACACGAGGGTCTGAAGCTATTATATGTCGTTCCAGCTGGAAATTATGATAAATTCATGAGAACTTAATGAAAAAAATAGAATTCAAACAATTGAAACGGTTGTTTACCACATCATTTTAAAAAAGCTTTCTTATCAAAAGAATTTACGTAAGCATACTACTAGACACGGGTCCATACATTTTAACTGCGTAATGACAACAACGAAAGCCAAGATATAAATTTTAGGTTATCTGTTTGTGTGGTGGGCTGATAATGGTTAAATAATGGGAACCATAGAGAGATAATATAATTACTAGAACGATATTTTGAAAGTCTTTAATTGATACAGAACTGTTAAATGTTTTCTATTTAAGATTGCACTGAATTTATCACAAGGTGAAGCAATATCTAGCTAGCAAATCTTCATCCTTATAAGATAGCAAAAGTAGTTGGTTTATTCGATAATTTCCTAGTAAATGAGTACATACAGACCCACTAATTCATTACACCGTGCTATGAGTTATTAATAGATAGTTTCTAAGCTCTTTGTTTTGAATACTTGTTGATACACCGCATCAACTACGCAAGTCATAAACAGAAAACAGTGAGAATATTTTGTGTTATTTACTTTGGTACCATCTTTCGAGTTTTCGTTAATACCATTTGAAAGCACAATATGCCAATACAAGTAACTTATGAGTTAGCTTCAGTCTGTGTATAAACTTGTTTATGTCGGTGTTCATGCTACTAAAAATAATGTACGGAATGCGTATAGCATTTTCTGTCATATACGGTCTTTACAAAGATATTCCCCCATGAACTTTGAAGATTTTCTACAAGATTTGTGAACCTGATCTGACAGTGATAACAATGAATTTCTTAATACAACTTAATTTCTTTTCGGCTGTTTGGAAAGTAATAGCAAATCACCATTACAAAATGAGCGGCTCAAAAGAAAGTAGTCAATATACCAACAATTTGATTTTGTTGAATTAAATGAAATTGTTGAAATAAAACCTTTCCGTCTATTAAGCTACTTACCTTGTCTAAAATATGTGGAGTAAGCATTGGAGAGATGATTGAAAGCTAAGTATAGAATTTACCGAGCCATTGTTGTCACTTAGTTCGTTGACACGAACAAAAATGTTTGATTCAGCTAAAACTTTTAGCTTTAGATTTAAAGGTTGGCGATATGATCAAAGCTGTGTGCAAAGGCAGACTATGTTGACTAAGTTTTAGAATTTAAAATGGTGTAAGACATAGATGTATGCAATTTGTGTGTATTTTATTGTCCCCTTATTTGTAGCTTTGAGAAACTATGCCAGAAGTATCCTGACAGAAAACATAAAGAAACACATGTTTTCAACTTCATGAAATTCGAAATTAGGGCAACAGTGAAGAATTACATTTCGAGATACCAATTATTCAGAGCGATAGCGCAAACCAGTAACCACTTCTAAGTTCATGTACTAGGTTATAGAAGATATTCATTGAGTGGGGACTCAATGTTACCAATTTGTTTTTTTACTTAAGAATAGGGATATCAAGAATCATTGTTATTATGTTCATCAGCGTCACAAAATTTTTAGATAGAACATTATAAATTTAGCTTTTCTATGCACTTACAGATGTCAAAATATACTTCAATTCGTTAGGGTTGCTCTTATTAGCTCCATTTATACTTTTGTACCGAAAAATCATGAAAAGAAATAACTAATTGTCACCCATGTCCATAGTTATGACTGAGAAAGCATGCTTTGTATATTTTCCAATTGATGGGTATTATACTTTTGACATATATGCAGTTCTCAAATTTTAACTCACTTTATTCCGAAGATTAAAAGCCTGTCAGAATAGCATACATAGTCCACTATTGTGTTCGTGAAGTGTCCCGAGCTGATCGATTAAGTTGGTCGGTACGCTTAACTTTCAATTACTGAGTTATAGGTCCAAACGCTAGTTCCATCCAATTTAGTTTGGACATCTCCATGGTATTATTGGACCTTACATCATGTGCCTTAAACTAAGTACGTGGATCTACAGTTGGTTACTGAGGTGTAGAAATTACTACTACTTAGGCTGGAAAATGTAATGATTGTGATATAGGATCCATGTGTAGTTTCATTCAATTAGTCATGATTATTTAACGTCCAAAATTGTAGGAACTAACAAAAACAACAAATAATCAGCATTAGATCACAGCGCTCGTGAGTCTCATACCACAGATAATACAAGTCCGATTGGCGGTTCCGTACAGGTTTTAAAGCACACATTTACATATCAACATCCGGATGTAACCCAATTCCTTGATCTCCAGGTAGAAACATACCCAGTAAACCAAGGGAGTTTTGGTGGTCTTTCACTGAAAGGAATATCAAAAGGGTACATAGACCGACCTAAGGTTTGTTGCTCAAATACTCTCGATCGAGTTAGCTTTTGGAGAATTATGATCTGAATTGACTACATTAAGTGATGTTCGTAAAGGTTGCTCATCTTTCTCACGTTTTGTTCATTTTGTTGCACATTCCTAAAAATGAAATGTATGACTTTTTATGAATTGACTTAATAGTCAGAGACTCACTAGAAAGATAAAGATTTTGATAAGATCCAGTCTTTGAAGCCCTGATTAACAATCAAGAATGTTTGCGATACGTTCTCCTAATTGTGAAATGTTGCTTCATGACCTAGTACGTGTCGAAGTCTAGTTTGATCTTAGTGAGTGAAGTATTAAAAGTGGGTTGATGACTTCACTTACCTCAGAAGTTCTAATGAGTTCGTGACTGACCAAATCTCGAGACGAGAATGTAATGGTCACTTGGCATTTATCGACTTGTATATGAGGCACAATATCCGTTTGTCTATAAAGGGGTACTGATACCGCACAACAGCGTACTCAATATTTTTTACGGCTATGAAGAGTGGCCCATAATAAATTATATGGACAGGCCACAGGTATCTGACCACAGATATCTTCGAGAGCTGTTTGTGTATAGTGATGTATACTGAGGCTATACACAGGAATGGGGGTGAGGTTGCAAACCTTAATCGACTAGTGGTTGAGACGTGTTAAGCATGCATTGCGGGTTGGCATAGCAGTAGGTTGGAAATAAGACAGAGGTGCTCAGATCAAGATGGTAATAACTTATAGTCACTGACTGTTATTCTGTTCCGGATCAGTTGCAATTGAGCGAGTGAATTCAGTCTTTATCCTCTAAATCTTAACTTTTGGAATAATTCCATACTTTTTATTTTCAATTGGGTCCCTTTTTCAAAGAAGTTATCCCGATGCACATTAGTGCCAGATCCAGCCTGCAATATTACACTTAGGCTGTGGGAATGAACAGAATATACATAAATGTAGGTCATAGTTCACCACAATCTTTTGCACCCTTCTGGATTCATGCTCAAATGGTAGGTAACTAATCCTTATAAAACAAGTTAAGATCATGAAAAAGTTTCGAAGCCTATTTTAGAATTTGTCCGTGACCATTTTTTAAAATTCTTTTAATGATAGTTATCTGGATTTCATTTGTTCGGTGTAATAATGTATTTGGCTTTTAAGAAGTATATGTGAGGTGACGATACAGCCCAGCTGCCCAAACAGAAGTGGAAGGGTTAGTACATGCGGCATAAACATTAAACCATGGACCCGAAATTAGGTAACTGCCCCATATGCAAATAGATTGCCTATCACTGTTTTCGAAGGACAAAATAGCGAACAGAGATGCTTCCTTTAGGGAAAACTTTACAGATAGTGGGTAAAAAATCTGTACTATTATAAAACTATATCAGATAATGATTACGTATGAAAATGAACAAGCATATAAGGTGCGATGAACAAATCAAACAGAGAACTATTTATTCAAGTGAACGTACTTCGTTAAGTAAAGGTTCAGCCGGCGGTTCAAGACGTAATTCTTCTGTTTTGTACTCATTGTTAACATAATAACCAACACGTATAAATTCTTTATCTCTGTACAAAGCTTGTATAAGCACAACTGTTACGCCAACAATGTCTTCATTTGGAATTATTTTTGGATCAGGAGCATTAGCCTCAAAAGAAAATTGATGACGACCAACTGGAATTGGACCAACTAAGATGGAATCCAATGTCTGGTCTAAAGCTGGGTTGTAGGCACTGCTAACATACACTAACTTCCATTCTAGATCTAAAGTCAATGAAAAACACTAACGGTAATATGAATTAATGTGGAAGTACTTGATTTTTTTAATAAAGCCAATTAACAAGGAGCACATTTAAAAGTGGAATACTGATTGAGAAAACCTGAAGAATGGAATATCTATTAACTCATTAGCATTTGACCCCCATGAAGTGTGGCTTATTAGATCAAGCAAGTGACAAATGGAGAAATGGTCTAAAAATTGCCTTACTAATCAAGGTTGGGGGATCAGGTGTAAACAAAACCAAGAAAACAGGTGTGCTAACCTAAGACACTTGCCTCCGTTAGGTATCTTAGATTTCAAGTGGTTGATGAAATCAGTACACACATTTTAATCTGACACAAACTACACTTGTAGATTAGTCTGGTCAAAAATAGCTATACACGAGTATTCACACAGAATAACCTACTTATTCGATGAAGTTCTCACTGTCCACTATCTGATTAGGTTCCGTATGATTTATCAACGGTTATGTTGAACTGTTGTAGTTTGATTTCTTATAGTTTAAATTTTACTGAAAATCTTTAGGTAAGATGTGGATATGGCACTAATTATTGCTTCAGGGGACTAGTTGCATCACAGGTACATAACACAGACAGTATACGGTCAAATTATGATGTTGGATTAAAGTGATTATTAGGAAGATTCCAGGTATGGTAACAGATTTACTATTACTACGGGGTTTACAAATACGACCGACACCAGACGAAAGGGTAGTTTGGGAAACCAGTGGCACTAATTGTTGTGTTGAGTGAAACTTACGAACGGTTCAAAAACATCTGCATACACAAAATTAATCTGACTGTTGCCATACAAAGCCTCCTGCGTTTATTCACAAACCACACCTAGAGATTCGAGTGTTATGAAAACGGCTCTTTTGGGAACTATAATGCTTAGGTGGCAGAAATAATTCGAAAAGTTTCATTTGATTAGCTGCATTACTTGCTTACATAAAATCGAGATAATCACGGATTGGATTTAATTTATACACAGCATTTTATGTGCTGCGGGAAGCAGTCAGTACTAACGATTGGCAACAGTTCGAACAGATTACAGCGACGCATAACGTTGGGCCGCTTGTTATAATCATCGTGATTTATCCTTTCAGTGTTTTGCTATGATGTTACTCAAGATAAAAATGAAGTGAGAAATGAACCTTTCGACGCGGGAAAGAACACAAGCTATTTCCTGAAATGACAATTCTAATAACATTTTAATGACAGGGATGGTAAACTGTCAACATCAGATCAGAGTTTCAAGTACTTTTTACATGCACTTCTTCAAATACCAGGATAACTTGTACATCTTTACAGCTTACGGCAACGCAAAGGACCTCTATGTGGTGACAGAATATCCTAGGATCGGCATCCCATTGCCTTATGAAATCGTCCTTACCTTATAAGGATAGTTTTACTATACCTCCAAGTGCCATTTCCTGAAGATTTTAGAATCGCACGGCGGCGCTTGAGTTATGAAGATCGTGATAAATGAGTATTAGGTGTTGTTGGCTGCTGATATTTTAAGTTGTGGCATAAAAATATATACTGATACGCCAAAAAGTCGTTTACTAGATATCAACTTAGTTTCATGACGAAGAAAGCAAAGAGAAATAACAATGTGGTGCTACTACTGATCATTAAAAAAGTATATGGGCTCACCATCATCTAGAGGTTCATGACACTCAAATGTTATACGGAACTTAAATGGATCAAAGAATGAAGCAGGGTTGTCCAAAACCTCAACATTACAAATGTTAACCTTCGCCATTAAGCAACCTCAGAGTGTAGCGCAATACGTTCGAAACTTTTCACTATCAATTTCTTGTTTTAATTATCAGGTTGCACATGTTATTTCTGATTGTTATTAGTCACTCACGTTATTAGATGTAAGTTCATTCTATGTGTTAGCTGAGCTTCCTGCTCACTTTTTCTATTGTTGTCTTCTCTTCCATATAATCTCACTACTTCCAAAACCTCGGTTTTCGCTTGATGAGCTCGTATGCTGAATAGTAACAGTTTACCGACACCTCTCATATGAGACAAACTCAGGCAAGGGAAAGATCAGTAAATTAGTGTTGTATTAGGTTTCTTCTTTAGGGACTCCTTAAAAAAGTGCCTTGGACCAAGTCAGAAGGCTGAGTCCCGAGACTCGTGGGGGCGTTGCGATTACATTCCAGTCTGCTGTATTGCACCTCGGGTTTCTGGTCATCGCCATCAAGGTTCCTGTTCGAATAGAACTTAACTAGAATCTCTAGAGGATACCCAGTTGTGCCTCGTATTATGTAAGTCATAAAAATTTCATTCACGAATTGCTTATTTTCTAAAGGGTAAAAATCTAGGAACTTACTGCTTGAATTCAATCCCGTGAACTGATTTTTTAAACCCCCTTCAATACGCGTCATAGCATTCTTATCTTTTTGAAGTGACAGAGGAAACATTATGCTTTCATGCTATAAAAGTGATCAGCTGATAGTGTTCACCGTCATCCTAAGATCCTTGTGTGACCAGACTACGGGTACAGGCTCTTCCCCTATGCTGTACCTGTCTACCTTTGCATCCCTAAAGTATATGAAGACACATTTGGTCGCGTTAATAGGCATCACCCACTTCTTCGACCAGTTAATCAGAATACTTAAGTCTGTCTCAGGTGCACATGAGTCTGGGTCTCCTGTTATTTCTCATCGACGTACAATATAAAAAGTAACGGACCTAGGACAGAGCCTTATGAAACTCCATCAGTACTGGTTTCTAGGAGGAGCACTTGGAATCCATTCCTATTATCTGTGTACGACCTACCGAGGAATCCATAATCCATTTTAGGATAGGTCTATCAATGCCTAAATTTTTCAGATTCTAGGATACTCTACTTTTGATACTTTATCGAGTGCTTTTCTGAAGTCTGTGTCGATAACATCCACTGATTTTCTATTATCTAGAGCCTCTATCTATTGCTCTCTTGCCATAAAAAGATTTGTTGTACAAGGCGAACCTTTTCTGAAACCATGTTTTCTCTGTCTAACAAGTTGTGACGTCCGAAAAGGTCACTATAGTCTTTTTGATTAGTTTTTCATAGTATTTTAACTACGACACTAAAGGATATGAGATTATGGCGTCAATTACATTTCGTCCGGACGAGTTTTTCAGCTCCCAACGCTGAGGTGGATTTTGATATAATTAGTACTTTTTTGAAATAGCCAAATCGACTTGCATTGTCTGATCCGTCATAACCGAGGCTTCGTTGAGGTAAAGCTTATCACTTAACACAATTTCGGAGCATTATATTCAGAAACATTATGACTGAACCTCATTAATATATTACTTAATACTCATGATCATTTAACCTTATGATAATATGCTTGGTGTTGTAACTATTATTTATTAGCAAGTTGTACATTTGTTGCTCGGCGGATCTGTAGGATACAACTTTGTTGCATCATTAAGCCTTGAAGTCACAGAGAGCTTGAATGGCTTCGTCTCAACGTTAATCACAGCATGAAGTGGAGCAAGCGGAGTGTGGGTTGACTTTAATCAAACACAGACGCCTCATCATTCAGTAAAGGAAAACAGGGAGCATTATGCCCACGAAAAAATAAGGAAAAATACCCGTGAAAATTCATTAAAATCACCAAACCGTCTATGTTAGGCTGGTCTATCTGAAAACCTCAAAGCTTTATACCGATATCTTTTATTCTGTACCAAGTTTACTGTTGACCGTGAGCTTAATGCCCTCGAACTGTAAAGGTAAAGCCGTTGCAGTCATACTTGTTAGTCGACGTTAGATATTAATCGGTGTTCTCAGCTTCTGTAAACTTTATTCACTAACAAATATCGTCTAGGCAATCTGACACACATCCTTAGGTTTTTCCAGTCTGTAGCCCGTACATGTGCAAGTCAGGATTAAGTCACCCATAAGTAAATCGAGTATTGGATCTATTCAGTGGAACTTCGTTCCTCTTGCACTTTAACTTGAGGCAAACTAGATTAACAAATGACTTTCACGTTATATTTCTAGGAGTAGCCATTTGGTTCACAGGTTCCACTTCCACAAGGTAGTCTTTCAGTAATGGCAGATTAGATACCGGTTTCAGTGCATAATGAGGTTCCTACATATTTGCACCTTTGTTCCTATCAACAGTTGATATCGCGAAATCTTCAAAACATGATATAGTATGGTTTACGTATAGAATCAGCAACGTTTTTGTTACAGTATTGGAGGGATATAAACTGTCGAATGATACCTGGCTATGTACATCAGTGATGTTTCCTTCACTTTTGCGATTCCTTTTCAACTGCACTGCCATCGTAGCTCCTAAAGATAAGCTATTAATTTCTAAACGCATTGCTGACATATGCAAGATTATCCTGGTTTATTAAAACTTTCAAATTCTCGAGGCATATGATTTGTAAGGGTTTCACGACAACCTTTGCATTTATCTTAGTGAATAGTGCTCTACACTAAATACAGAATAATTGGACGGTGGGAAAGACGCCACAGGTATTTGGAGTTTGACGACGCTTTAACACCTAATATATATCGTACCCACCAAGTGAAATCAAAAGACAGAAGCGAGGAGGCTCGAAGATATATTTGATAGGATATCAATATATCGTGAATCGACTGATCTAATCTGGCTAGGAATTTCAGGGGTTGTTGAGCACGGCGTTTCCACTCGTGATCTGGTGAGGATGCCTGACCGAGCGCCTCCAACTAGGTGAGTCCGTTAGAACTAATGTGGTCGGCATCCAATGTCGAAGAGTTACAGGGCTATTTAGTTTGGGGATTTATTTACCGCTACATTGGCAACCACCTTTTTACCATAACCCATAGACGTTGGAAAATCTTGGATGATAATTCTAAAAAACTGGATAAACCACGACAGGAAAAGAGTTTAAATAAAACAATGGTTTTCGGATAAAACGTTAAGTTCAAGCAGTTTAAAAAAACTGGGGAAATATATTATTACTTGTCACAGGATAGCTCTTTTTTGGAACCTAAGCTGAAACAAACTCATGTGATGCAGAATTATTGGTGTGGACACACCAAAAATTAAGAAATCCAGAAAAATACGTCTCTTTGAAACAGCAGAAATGAAGTTACGAAGATAAAGGAATATACAGAATGATTTTCAATCAAAATGTTTGGTTTTGGGTTTGTGATCACAAAGAATTTAGACACTATCTCAACTTATATAGCGGACACAGCCTAGGCAAATGCAATTAGCCGCTTTATATGAGGACAACTTAGCGCAATCACCCTAGAGCTTTTCCTAGCTCTTTAGAACGTACGCAAAGCCCCACATAGATGTTTTCAACGTCGTTGTTCCCTGTCTTCAGAAGAGACGTTATCTCTTAGGTCAGGTGCAGATGGAGAACTAAGTGGTCAGTATGTCTAAAACATCAGTCTAATGAGGACAGACTCCAAAACTTAGGACATTTGTTTCCGAACTTTAAGACAATAAGGGGTGATCTGATTATGAGATAGAACACATTATGTACTACAAGTTGCCCCGACATGAGCACCTCACCACTGCGCTTCTCAAGACAAGCCCAAAACAGGTATTCATCAAACAGCAGAGATTCAGGCACGCCCCCACTTTATCTGATAAAGAATTGCTTCCGATTTGAATGATTCACAAACGGAGGAAACCAATTCTCCTTCAGTAAATAGAACCAAGAGGGGACTTGACAAGTACTTACTCAACCACTGACCATCATCCTCTGCCTGAACCAGCTGTCTCTGACGCACTTCTTGCCTGGTAATTCGATAGCTAGTGATGCCCAGAATTTATGCTACCTTGAAGTAGACGAACTCACTGGAGTCACAAAATATACGAGTCCACAAATAACTACCAAACTGACTAGATTTAATGCAGTCGATTGTCTAGACTGTCACCCATTGGACATTACCAAACACCCGTTTACAGTAATGTTAGCTCAGGTTTCAATGCACTAGCCACAACATACTTCCTCTATTTTTAGATCACGTAAAGCATGAAAAGGTTATAAAGTCGTACTAGCTAGACGGTGCAGTGTTAAGGTAATTTCAACTTCACTGGCTTTCTTATAAGTACTAAGCATTCCTGCGAATTTCATAGATTTAGATGATCTAGGCGATATTACGAATAAGCAGCCCATTCATACCACTCGATCTAAAATCCATGAAGTTATCTCACCGTAAAAAATTAGTTTTCGGGGACTCATACCCACAAATGACACTGAAGTGATTTGACCAATTAGTCAAACCGAACTAACGAGCGAATCGTGCTACACAATAATTGAGATCGAATCGGCACAGTACGTTAGCTTTCTTAGATGGGATTATGGCATGAACTGCTTGACAAACTTAGTCATGTTAAAGAAAGTCTGAACATGATTTGAATAAACATTATTTAACATTCTAGGAGTCAGTACGCTCTCCTTTCATATTTGGTAGACAAAAAATCATAGCTATGATTTATAGGGCGACTCGAGGTAACTAAAGAGCTCACTGTTTTCAGACTAATACCTCATTCCGAATTCACTCAGTTCTTTTTCTCATTTGAACAGAAAAACATATTTTTAAAGATATTGACTAATTGGGCTCTGTCATCAAGTTTCTATAGAATTTAAAGATATATAAAAGACAACGGTCACCACACTTTTCTCCCTCTCGAGATCCATTCGAAAGCATTCCGGGCTGAGAAATTTAGTTTAAACCTTTGAAAGTTGTATGCACATGGTTATAAGCGGGCTTCAGACAGCTGTTATGTGCATATCAAAGACTTCATA